GAAATTAACTCATAAATGTCAGTTTTACTCTCTAGACTGTGTACCTATAAGCAAAACAAATTATATAAACTACATTTCCCTATCTACTGTCATTAATTTGTGGATTTCCACAGACAGACTCCTACCGTCTCTGTTCTGGGGGCGCTGATCAGACTGACCCACATTTGCAGAGAATCTGTCAATCATGTACTATTGCTAGGTGAATTTAATGGCCAATCAGCGTCTCGGAACTTTATGGTATTGGGGCGCTGAAAATACTGCGCTTTAACAGGCTTCTGAACCCAAGCGCAGGTGCAGACAGTTAGAGGGAAGATGGTGAATGTAACGAACGAGATGCAGCTTCCACCAAATTCGGTGAGATCCTTATTTATCTACCCGTTTGCCAGAAGAACATCCCTGTTGTAGGATATGAACATTTCATGTCATGGTTATTGTGACTGTGACGAATCCACCTCGTCGCTTAAAACAACCTCTCTAACTTTGCGCGCCACACACACATTCCTGTTATACTGTGTTTGTGAGGACCAATAAACTCGCGCTGAGACCAGTAGCTCCATGAACTTAAAACACACAAGCTGTTCCTGGTTACCTGCTGGCATATTGAGGGTGCACACTTAATATTTCAGTGGGGTTAGCCGTGTGTGTGTGTGTGTGTGTGTGTGTGTGTGTGGGGGGTGGGGGGGGGGGTGTACGTGTTTATGCTACGGGGACTTGTCATCTTCAGTCTGGCTGCGTCTTTGCTGGGTTCAAACCCACTTTGGTGTAATTGAATAAGTCAATGAATCTGTGTAAAAGAATTAAGTTGTAAAAATTATTTGTTTTTGTACATCAATTGTTTGTGGAGGTAATATATGGACAAAACTGATTAATGAGAAGAAATCAGAAATAAGAGAGCCTGAGGGGAGGGGCTTAAACTATTTAATGAGGGCTGTGGGAAGAAAAGCGGCAATTTTTGTTTTCTGTTTCTTTGTTACATTGCTGGTAACTGGAGGGAGGCTGAGGCCCAGAGTATCTTGTACATGTTTAGTTTCTTTTGCACCCTGTTTTGAGTTTTTGAGCTCAATAAATCACCAACACCGGTAATCCGACTGAGACTGGATTCTTGGAGGCCAAAGAACCCCGTCACAGTGACCCAAATCATCACTGTTACTGTTATGATATAGTAAATTAAATCATTACTGTTAAATTGTATGTATTGTCCAATTGTTTATTTGAATTCTTATTCCGGATTAGTTGGAGACATACACTAGGCTATATCAGCCCCACCAAAAATATTTTTCACCAGCCGCCACTGCTACTATGCTAACGCCACCGCCACCAAGCTGCAATGATTTGCAGCGAATGAATACCGCCGAATCTGTCGATTCATCTTGTAGTGGTGCGTCAAATGCAACGTAGATTCCCATCCAATTAGACTGAATTTGGTATTTGTGAGAAAACGGCTCACCAGCTCCCGTCTCACGTCAGAGGAGGAGTAAGCAGATGACTTGCAAAAAGGTGGTAAGAACCAGCGGACAACAAAATTCCAGTTCAAAAGCGTGTAGCGGTTTACTGGTGCGACGGTGAAGACAAAAAAAAAACAAAATACTTTCAAATAAAGAAAACAAAACCGGCCATTGCAGGCAATACAAAACACTGACAGCCTCACAGCAAGCTGACTTTAAATATAGTCTCTCTAAGCAGACCTTCAAAAGCAGTCTCTCCAAGCAGCCCCCCTAAGCCATTGGGAGTGTGCCCCTTAAATAGACCCACCAATAATCAGCCAATTGGGACAGCCCAACTAAACAGGAAGGGAAATCCCCAATAAAGCACAGTTAACATTGTAGAAAAAATGGAAAATGATATATGTTCATAACTACTCGCCACACTCCTCTATCATATGGAATAATAGATTTATTCTACATCGCAATAAGTCATTATTCTACAAAGATTGGATGGAGAAGAATATTTGGTCTATTATACACTTAATGGACACTAATGGTTACATATTAAATTACGAACAATTCTGTACAAAATATCAGTTCCTTCCTCCAAAAGATGAATTTACAAGATAACTTAACGCCTTGCCAGAACAATTTATTAATCAGATTCAAAATATAATAATATATCATCCAATTACCCCCAAACTAACCGATTTATCTATTAATGGAATATCAATCACTGATCAAAAATTCAATAACCACACAATTAGAAACTATCTAAATGAAACTTTGTTCCCTGGGAAAATAAATAAAAATAACATTCTTTGCAAATTTGAACAAAAATTGAAATACCAAGACCTTTTTTTTTAAACTTCCTATACAACCAAAAGCTAAAGAAACTGCCATCTACCCATCAAAAGAACTACTAAGAATCCGTTTTAATATTGATGACAATAAATGCTCATTCTGTGAAAGTGATGTAGAAACTATAGACCATTTCTTCTATGAATGCAGTCAGACTAAAACATTTTGGAATTGTTTAGAAAGATGGATCAAATCAAAAATTGCACTCCCTAATTCTATTTCTAGAGATATGGTAGTTTTTGGAATACTATTGAAAGACAAAACAATAGAACTCTGTTGTAACCTAATTTTTTGTTTAGCAAAATTCTTTATTCATAAACAGAGTCTTGAGATCCTCCCCTATCTTTAGTATTTTTTTTATCTGAATTTAATTTATATTTGACATCTCTTGAATGTATCGAATCTTACAAATACCTGACTGAAATACTAATGGAACTGCCCACTGATGTACATTAATCCTAACATATGAATCCCCTTGTCTTTATGTTATTTTATTGTATTATTAGCATTACTCACGCATTTTTTATTTTCCTCATCAAAGTTACTTTGTATTTTCATTCTGAAATCTGCCTCTACTATGCCTTCTATAGAATTAGAATTCTAATGTTCTTATTGCCTAACTTGTTTCTACCCACCTTGTTTAAATAAAGTTAATTTAAAAAAAAAAACATTGTAGAAAAATAAATACAGACAATAGCATCATTCATACAAAAACATACATATTAATGAAATAATTTAACCATGCTAACATTACCATTTCACCTACTTATTACCATGCAAACAATTATTACATTCATTGAAATCCCACTTAACACCCCTGCCCCCTAATAGTCTTTTTCAATGCCCTGGGACAATGGATAAGAGACTGGCTCCGATGCGGTACGTGTTTCCACACGGACCAGTATGCTGACGGACTAAGGGAAGAGAATGTGTAATTTGACTGGGAAGTTTTATTACCGACTACGGAATGTATATTAAAGCTGTCGCAATGGGTACCTTTAGAGTTTGCTACGCTGGTGAGTAAGTAAAGTGTTGAATGAAAGGTGACGTTGTAATTTCGGAACTAGTGTAAATTACCTGGTGAATTGTTTGGAACTGCCGCCGCCATGATGGCCGGTTTGTGGTGCATGCTGGGAAATGTAGTGAAGGATGTGACGCTGTGCGTGATAGACAGCGGCTACACTTTGGGAACAGAGGGGGAAAACGGCTCCGTTTTCACAGTGACGTGAAAAATAATAACGGTAACTCCATTGAAATGATTCAAAACTAAAGTAACGAGCCAATTTTTTTAAATGTAAGGAGTAGAAAGTACAGATATTTGTGTAAAAATGTAAGGAGTAGAAGTAAAAAGTCGCCATAAAAATAAGTAGTAAAGTAAAGTAAAAATATCAGAAAAATCTACTTGAGTACAGTAACGAAGTATTTGTACTTCGTTACTTCCCATCTCTGGTTTTGAGGCACCCATCACTGCATTTTGGTTTCTGCCTGTCAACCCCAAACAAAATGCATTGCACCTGCCCCTTGCAACATGCTACAAATACATAAATGGTGATAACACACAAAACACATACAAAGGAAAAATGCCACAAGTAGTAAAACAACTGCAAGTTAAGAAAAGATGCAAACTGGAGCTACATAAAGAGCTCCAGACCACTAGGGAGTGATGACTATGAACTCATATAGGACCAGAACATGGACATTGCTCTGAATTAATATCTATGGACCAGACCCTTAGAAAAAACAAAAATGGGATGACATTCAGAAGATGTCAGGGGAGAAGAAAGAAAATGTAAGTTTTATATTGAATTCTTTTTGAACACTTAACCTTTCTGAGCATCAAGTTTATGTCTTTTCTAAGGTTCTAATCCCATTTGAGTTCATGATCTTCTTCTCCAACTAATGATCTGGAACAAGTCAGCTACTAGTTAGCTTTTTTATTTTTTTACTTGTAGCTGTTGCTACTCACAGCATTTTCCTTTGGCGGATATTTTGTGGATTAGCATTGTTTATGTAGTGGCAGGTAGTTTTGTGTTTGCAGTGTGTTGTCAATTCACTATTCTATGTTTTCTGTGATTGCAGCTTTGCTCCTTTGTAGCCATTTTTCTTTGCATCTTTTAAATTTATTTTGTGTTAACGCAGTCTTTGCACTGCTTGGCCACTATATGTATACACTCATGTTGACACTGCTCTAATTATGTGACTATTTAAGGCAGCTTGTAGAAAACATTTTATTCTTGGGTTTCAAAGTAAAGGGTGTGGAATTCTAATGAATTTCACATATTTCAGATTACATATTACAGATTTCTTACACAATTTAACTTTCAAGCTTCTAACCTTTGACCTCACAATCATGCACAACTTTGTGTTGTGCTATAAAAAAAGAATCACCATGATTACTGCTAGGTTAAGGTTTGGAAATCAAAAAGACCCCAAAATTCTACTGGTTTAATTTTTCAGCTCAGATATAATGGGGGCTAACCTTACATCTGACACAAAGTCATGTTTGTGCCGATGCGTCTTACATTATAAGAATTATTGAAGAATTTGAATCGGATGTGTTGGATATCAGTTTTTTTAATATTTTCAGATCTTAAAATTTTGTTTTCTTAGTCTTCATAATTATTTTTGAATTTATTAAACTTTAGATAGTCTAATTGTATTGCAAAATATTTCTTCTTAGCAATGTTCACAGCATCTTAATGTACCAAAACTCACCAATACGTGCAGTTATAACGCCCAGGAATAGCAGAATGATGGAAACATAAGAGTCAGGCGCTGTTCCAGAAGGGTCGTTGTCAAACAGGACGGTGTTGTTGGTCCAGTGAATTGAGGAGCGATCAGGAAGTAAAGGCTGATTGTTCCCTCCAGTCAGAGGATAGGTGTGTTTTTGCCTTATGTTTGCCATCCCTCCAGGCTCAGCATAGGAACCAGAGCTAAAGTAGGGCATCAGCAAACTAAGATCCATAGGGCTGCCAGGAGCAAACACAGAGCACACACAGAGCAACAAGCAACCCAGGTGGAGGCAGCTGGAGATGATGCCTGTATTTATGAGGCCAACTGACTTCCTGAGCCTTGTGAACAATACAGTGCCCATCAGCCCTGTGATAGCTGAGACGCCCATTAGTAGACTTAGGAGTGAGCCGCTTATGCCCTGAGTGTAGGCATAGCCAGTAGTGATGCAGTCAAAACCCAGAACGGTAGTGTAGAGGAAAGCCAAACCCATTCCAGCCAGGAAGACGGGTTGTCGATAATATGCTCTCCAGCCATCCTTACATGTGCTCAACAGGCATCGAAACCTTTGAAAACACTGTGGAAAATTGGTGATTCCTTTGAGGCATATCCTGGAGCTGTAGTTACTCTCTACCAGAGTTTCAGGTTGTTCATGATTTCCTTCCCCTGATGAGAAAGAATAAGAACAATACTTTAGTTCATCAGCTGTAAAGGCCTATCATTTTATATCTGCAGCCTTTCAACTCTGTTCACATGTAGTTTATCGATTTTTCTGACAAATATTTAAGCTGTTAACTTTATGGTGACCATAAATGTTGGATTTCATTTTTTAGATAAAAAACTCAAAACTTTACCAATTACTTATTGGTGCATTTGGCTTTATTTCCTGTCAGCGTCACACCTTAAAAACTGTAGCATGTTTTGGGAGTCTGTTTTTAAAAACTGGATGATTATTTGGGGCATATCCTGCTTTTAGGCCAGTGTCTCCAGACCCTGATCTTTAGGGCTCTGGGTGGACCTTTGTTCAAGCACACCTTATTTAACTGTTTCAATTCCTTCCTCAATATCCCAGTAGATACTGAAGGAACTTATTAAAGGACATTTATTTAACTCCCTGTTGTGGCAGCAGAGAAGCAAATCAAACATGCAATGAAATCCACAGATACAATGAGAGTGGTTCAAGAGACTTGACCAAAGCGCTTTTTTTTTTTTCAAAGCGCATTACAATATATTCAGTCATTCACTCACACAATGATGATGGCAAGTTACATTGTAGCCACAGTTGCCCTGGGGCTCACTGACAGAACAGAGGCTGCCGTACTCTGACACCATCAAGTCCTCTGACCACCATCAGTAGCCTATGCGAGTGAAGTGTCTTGCCTAAATATCAATGCAACGTTCATAAGCTGTATGTAACGCAATTTCGTTCTGTATGCACCCTGTGCATACAAAATGACAAATAAAGAAGTCTAAGTCTAAGTCTAAGTCTAAAGACACGACCCTGAAAGCCAGTGCGAACTCTTTCATAAGATGCCAGTATCTCCCCTAACCAGGCCTCCATAATATGATACATTATATTCATAATATTTTCTTGTGCAAAATCTATGTACTTATGTGAAGATATTGGAACACTATGAAAGTCTGTAAAAAAAAAATCCTCAGTAAATAAATAGTACCTTGCAAACCTCTCCTTTCTGTCCTTTCCAGGTAGTCCTGATCACCCTCAACGGTTGGAGGTTTGACTGAGAGAGCAGGAACAATACGATAAACTCTTGACAAGAAGAAGAACTCCACAATGAGTGAAAAGAGGTTCCATGCCAGGATGAAGCCACAGCCAACAACGTTAGAGGCCAAGGTCATGACCTGCCCTACTGCCAGTGGGGCCAGGATGTTGGACACCTGATCTATCCTCCTCATGGTTGCATTCATTCCTATTGTTGGGATCAAACACACAGAGATAAAAGCTTACCCACACATGGACTCTCAGCAGCTTATTAACCCAAGACCTTGAGTACAAACTAACTGTCAGACTATATGTTCTCACCAGCCAGGTGGCCTCGGTTGTAGCCTGTAATAACCACTATCCAGTCCCTCTGGATGGCAATGGTCAGCGCTGTGCTTGCAAGGTTTGCCACATCTGCCAGGATGATCACCACCGTATAACAAACCACCTTGTGTGAGTTTTGCGATGCAACATGTTACTATGACAGTACAGAGTAGCCACAAGCTCAGAAGTAGAGGACACAGGGACACAGCAAAGACAAAATAAAAACACTTTTTATGTTGCAAATCCTATCAATCATTCATTAAATAGATTAATTGTATCAAATTAAAGTGATTATTGCCATATAGATAATATTAAGTGTCGACTTACAGTAAACCATCCATCCCAGATTTGTTCTATCCGTTCCTTATACAAGAACACCAACATGAGCACTATACTACATACAGTCACTGAGGTGTTCTGCAGAAAAAGAGATGCATGTGCAACTGAAACAGAAAATGGGAAGAAAAAAATATTCAGCCTTTCATTCATGACAGATAAGGTCTTTAAAAGGAAATGCAGGTGGAGTAACTGATTCATGCTAACATTCTACTTAAATCCTACTGGGATGAAATAAAGAAATATATTAATGGAATCCACAACCTTGGTGAAACACAACATCATCAGTTTTCTCACTCCATGTTTACATTGATCTGATTACTATCTCAACTGTTCTACCTATGTTACCTTCAGAAATGTCTTGAGGTGTGAAATAGTCATGCATACCTTTATTCCGTGGATTGCGATCAACCCAGTCTCCAATTAAAGCCCCGAGCAACAACACTGACCCTGCCAGCACCAATCCGAACACCGCAGTCAACAGCAGGTTGTGGCCATACAACTCAATGAGGAACACAGATATTGCAAAGTGCCACATACGGTCACCCTGTTAACCGCAAAACACATGAGTGCCATTACAGTGTGTATGACAGCACACATTGTATACTAAAAGTATTAGATTTTCTGCTGTCTTCTCTGTTCTTCTGCTAATATCTTTCTTCAGAAATGTCTCTTACCCACATCGACAATGCTCCACTCACATAGATGAGAAACTTTGGACCTTTGAGGTAGATAAGAGCTGAACCTTAGAATGAAATGTATGTAAATATAACTAATCAATACAAATTGCATGCATTAGAACATTTTCCTGGGTTTAAACTGGACTTCACCTGGTATATTCTTTGCTTTTGTAGTTCTTGAATCCCTGATGTCATCAGATTCAAATTCAACCACTACTCCACCACACTGGGAGGTATCTGTTGATTGGGACATTGCCTAGAAAAGGATTGGAGGCAAACAAAAATAAAATAGCAGACAGCAACTGTTTTCATTTATTCTTTTAATCTGAAATTAGAATATTTATACTATATAAATAACCTGGTTACATCTTAATAATACAAGTAGAAAAAAAATCACAAAAGTGGTTTAATTCTTCTGGAGAGAAACCCATCTAACTGTCTTGATTTTATAATCAAACTTCAAACCATCCATTTTCCGTGACGTTTTATCCCTGCTGGGATCGCGAGGGATGCTGGTGCCTATCTCCAGCTGTCTACAGGCGAAAGGCGGGGTACACCCTGGGCAGGTCGCCAGTAATGCGCAAGGCAACACAGAGACAAACAACCATTCACAAACACTCACACCTGAGGAGAATTTAGAGAAGCCAATAAATCTAACTGTCATGTTTTTGGACTGTGGGAGGAAGCCGGGGTACCCGGAGAGAACCCACAGTAATCCCATCCATAATCAAACTTGAACAGTACTTTTTTCTGATGTCTCTCTCTGTACTATATTGTGTCTGATGAAATAGTAAGAACTAGTTACTGATAGTCAGTACATTCCTAGCAGAGAATAATGAAATTGTGCTCATAGAGTAAACCTGACAGAAACAAGCTGAAATGTCTTCATAAAACTCAACTATATAAACCAACTTCAGTTGAAAACGGTTCCTATAAACTCTACTGTGATCTCCATTTAAGAATTGTTGGTTTGCTCCAGTGTTTGGAAAGTGACATGTAGTAGCATTGCTGTTGTGGTCATATTTCCAAATCCAATTGGCTGTAAAACCTTTGTAAATGTAATCTGTCCCATCTTTCCCACTGTAGGTCTCTCATGTCCCTCTGTAGACACCCAAGATTCCAATGACCATTTAATTTGTTTTGCAATGATAACATAGGGGTAAATTCCAATTTAAAGTTAGTACCAACAGAAAAGAAAGCTGTATCATGGATATTCTAAATGTGACTGTGTTAAAAAAAATCAATATTATTGATGCAAGACTTTGCATAGGTGCAAATTGCAAAATGTCCATCTTAAGTATTACCAAAAAGAGGTTGATATGGCAATATAGAAAGTATGAACACAATGCCATTACTGCTAAAATTCTAGTCGACTGTTGGTTATTGGCCCAGATTGTCCAGGAAGGGGCGGATATCTTTTTATTTCTTAGAAAAACGAAAAAATTTTTTTACCTTTTCTAATAATAATTTTAATTATCTCAAACTGTTAGGTAAACCATTATAACTCTATTAACTCTAGTGCAGTGTGTAAAAATGATTTGGAAATGTTTTGGATCAATATCACTGTATATATCAGAAAATATCACTGTATATCATTAAGGTCCTAATAGGTCACTAAAAGACATTCTAAGGAATATGTCAAGACGCTAAGCCCATTAGGGGTCTCTCACTATGTGTGACCATCACCTATCTGTTTATGTTCTTTGGTGTACACAGATAATCTCTTTTTCTAGAAAAATACTGTCAGCATATTGCTATTTTCTCTTCAACATTCACGCTGCATTGCTGCCTTCCACCTGTTGAATTCAAGACCTGTAAATGCAGCACATCCTACTTTGAATATTGTTTATTATTTTTTAAGTGTCAAAGAAAAGGGAAAAGGTGCAAAAACACAAATATTCTGGTTAAGCTACAAATTCTTTTTGAATTTTCTCAGATGATGCAAAAACATTGCTCTAGATCTGACCAGCTTGACTCTACATTTAAAGCTGTCAGCTTAACTCTCCCATGTGAGGAGCTTTGTCAAACTGTGACAGATGTACATAGCAGGTAACACACTGACTACCTATAACCAACAAACACAGCAATGCTTCAAAAATACAAGCCTATCACATTATATCATGTTTAGTTTTCAAGGGAAAAGCACACATAGATTGTAGGCTACATTGTTACCTTTGCTTTGTTGTCACTCTCCGTTCTTACTGTTTTTCTTTGATGCTGTATCTTGTGCCATGTGTCCTACATTAGGATGTTAGTCTTTCCCGAGAGTTTGAATTCAAACTGTAGTAGTTTGAAGGGCTTAATAACACTGCAGTGTTCAAGTACACCATTGTATGAAAGTGCCAGAAAAGCAGAACAGGCAGAGACAACAAAGGCAGCCAGCATATTCCACAGCACGTGATGCTCTGAGGACAATATCGCTGTCCGTCCACCAAAGGACAACTACGTACGTGTGTAATGCTCAGAATGGACACATGGTCAGAGAAAACATGCATGCACCCTCAGTGACACAATTCCTACTGCTAATACACCCATATGAACTGTTGACATGTGACACAAAAGTTACATTAAAGGACCATCATGCAACATTACATCACCCTTACGCCCACAGGTAAAAAAAAACTAGCAACTAGTCCCTTAGCTGGCTGAATGAGATCCATAAGGAAATACATGGAGGAATGACATGAACAAAAAAATCATAAGTGGATGCCGCTTATTTATCTTCATCTGTTGTTTAACAATTTCTTAAAAAATATTAAACCTCAAAAACAAAATTAAATGACACCCTCTGGTAATCCCTGTGTGTGTCTCTATATATACACATCTACATACTTAGACATATATACAAATACACACATACACAGAGATAGATAGATAGATAGATAGATGATAGATAGATAGATAGATAGATAGATAGATAGATAGATAGATAGATAGATAGATAGATAGATGTTTTTAAGAAAAGTCTTTCTTCATTAAAGGCGAGATTTGTGCTGTACAGACTGTTTGTTGTCCTATGGACAGAGTCTCCCACCTCAGTTGTAGATCTCTGCAGGTCATCCACACTGATCATGGGGCTCTTGGCTGCATCTCTGATCAGTCTTCTCCTTGTTTGTGCTGAAGTTTAGAAGGACGGCTGGGTCTTTGCAGATTTGAGTCCCTCTGATACTTCTTCCATTTCAATATTATCCCTTACACCAGGGGTGCCTTACACAGTGCTCCTTGGGATGTTTAAAGGTTGATAAATCTTTTTGTATCCAAATCGGGCTTTAAACTTCTCCACAACAGTATCTGGCAACTGCCTGGTGTGTTCCTTGTTCATAATTCTCTCTGCGCTTTAAACAGACCTTTGAGACTATCACAGAGCATGAGCATTTATATGGCGATGTGATTACTCACAGGTGGATTCTTTTTATCATCATCAGTCATTTAGGTCAACATTGAATCATTCAGAGATCCTCATTGAACTTCTGGAGAGAGTTTACTGCAGTGAAAGTAAAAGTTCCGATTAATTTTGCACGTTCCACTCTTCAGTTTTTTTATTTTCAAAACAATTTAAACTATCCAATAAGTTTCATTCCATTTTATGATTGTGCCCCACTTGTTGCTTCTTCAAAAAAAAAAATACAATTTTATATATTTATGTCTGAAGCCTGAGATGTGGCAAAAGTTTGAAAAGTTAAATGGTGCAAATACTTTCACAATAGTGCCAGGACCACTTCTCTATTCATGAAAAAAATTGTATTCTTTTAGCAGTTTTTATTATTTTATTCTACCTGTACTACACCTTTATAACTAGAATGTGATTAAGGGTTGGTATAAATTAACCACATCTGGTTCCTGGGTAGAAGGAATTCAAGACTCAAATGTGTTTTTGAGGCAGTTTGTTTTGTCTTGCAAATACATTTCTTCTGTCCTTGAGTATAAAAGACATGTACGAACTGTAGAACTGCAGAGGAGCTCGCACCCTAGATGCTCTGTATGACAGTCTTTGTTGTCATCAAATACTTCATCACATCCAACAGAGTAGAACTTGGATAATCTTATTTTTAAACCTCATAAAATGCTTTAAGTAAAACAGAAAAGTAAGTGTAAAGTAGAAGGGACCAAAAACTTAAAATGTTGATGAATGCAGTCACTAAAACCCTTGGAATTTAAAGGTCCAGGAATTGTATTTCCCACACAATAGGAATCTTGGGTAATTCATCAGGGCGCTTTCCTATTCCTCTAAAAGGGCTGCAACAAGAAGAGAAACTGTACTACACCTTCAGTCCATCAAGTAGCAGTGATAAGAGCACATAACTGGTTCTTCCATTACCTCCAGTGCTGTCCAACCATAAGTAAATCCCTCAGCTTAAAAAGTTGATTTGATATTTCATTTTTTAACAAACTTACATCTGTCTGGAGTTGAGTTTTAGCTGTATGATTCATTTATGATTCACTAACCACTAAAAACTAATATACAGTTATTTTTTAAATTATAACATCCAGGTGAACCTCAGATATCCTCATCAAACTAATAAATTCAAAATGTAATTTATTAAGGTCCACATAAGCATTGATTCATATCAAGTAGAAGCTCTAGATGGTGGTCTCGATGATGGAAGGATCCTACAAGCCAACAGAGAGCATCCAACTCCTGATGTCTCTTGCATCGCTGTCAGCATAGAGTCGTGCAAAAAAAAAAAAAACGTGTATTTATACATATATATAAATGGTTGTAATCTAACTTAGATTTACATTATAAACCAGTTTAAGGAGAATGTATATTTCTTGTTTCTCCAAGTGAACGTCATGGAGCTCCATCAGATCATTACTCCAAATATTTTCCTTAATTGTGGAAAAAAACGGTTTTGAATCAATACCTACACATTTACCTGCACATTTAAAAGTCACTACACAATTGTAGTATTCAGGTATATTCCAATGCTTAAAAACATCTCAGAACATATTTTGTGACAAGTATAAGGTGTAAAAAACAACATTACTCTCACCCTCATCGGTTACCCCAGCCCCTGGTTGAACAAATAATAATAGCAAACAAAAAGTTATAAACACTTTAAGCATGTTATTGTGCTGATAAATTACCTTTACATAATATCCTGGGTTTTTTTTAAACTATGAATTGCTCACAGCTGCAAAGACTTTATTGTTACAGCATAAACTTCAGGCATTTCTTATTCCTACTGTCTTTTCATATTGTTGTCAAAAACACAACAGTGACACCTGCTGGAGAGATCAGATTTTACCTTTGAGTTTGCCTTCTTTTACATGTAGTGACTATAACATCACTTGAAACAGATTGCAGAGTAATACTATTTGTACTGTAGATTAATTTTTAATTACTCAAACTGACCAGATATCTTGTTTTATTTTGAAGACCTTGGCTAATGTCAGTCAAAAAGAAAATATTTGTTTTCCTCACATTACCAACAATGATAAAGACACAAAGCATTAAACAATAAATAAATGAGAGTAGCCCTTAGAAAAGATAATTTCAATTAAATGTATATCTCCAAAACATTTAGTTAGAGGAGAAAAAAATGTAACACTATTCAATATCCTGTTTAGCCTGTCACTAAACATTGCAGTTCTAGCATCTTGTGGTAGGATTCCTTGTCTGTAACAGGGAAAGGAAGTCTAATGGCTCATGGGAAGTCAGATACAGCTAAATACAGGGCAGTCCTGGAAGAAAGGCTGTAAGTGGCTGCGAAAGGAAACATTGGTGGAGGTTTAGCCTCAAGCAGAACAACAACCATAAACACTGTCATATTTTGTGAAACTGGAAGTGAACTAAACTGAAGACAGAGATTTTGGAGCAGTATAGTTAATAGGAATAGGTTTAAAAAAAAAAAATACAAAAACTTACAGGCAATAGGAGAACTGAGAACAGAGCATAAAGCATGGCCGGGCCAGCCCACCCTGACAGAAGTGTTAAAATGGAGAAGGGTGGTTACACCATCCTTTTACTTTTTTAATTTGTCAAAAGTACCCTGTCTGAACTGTTCAAGTTCCTGCAACTTTTTTTTTTGTATTTATGAAACTGAATTGCACACAGCACCTAACTGTGTAATTACATCACCATTTCCTTTCATACAACATTGCGTCTATGAATAAAGAGTATGCTTTACTACATAGGTTCAGTTTGCAAACTGTCATTTATTTAAAGGTTGTAGGTTTTTTCTTGTAAAATGATCTAGTGTTAGAAAAATATTTTAGATGATGCCATATTATTTTAAACAAAAGTATACAAACAGCTTAATGATGAAAAAAAACACATCAGTAAAGCAGTTTGCTGGAAATATGCCGATGCGTTTATTACAATAAAGACCTCTTTGAGATTATATTTATAATCACTTTATTTAGATATCCAAAACTGATGTGTCGTAAAAAAAAACCCTCAATGTTTGCAAATATAGAAGTCTTACTTTTTTGTTGTCATAGTATCTAATAGTTTATTTACGTTCAAGTTTAAGGACAAATAAAGGATTATTGCATTTTATTATGTTTTACTCTGTAACAGAGAGTCCATCAGAAGCTCTTTAATATTCCCTCTAATGGTAAAACCAGGGATGATCAATGTTTATAGATTTTTATGAGACATTTTAGTTGCGTTTAATGTATTTAGTTTTTTGTTTCTTCTTTTGTTTCTTCCTTAAAGCACTTCAATTTTTCCTGTGTTTGAATGACACCTATGGATGAACTTGGTTTGCATTGCCTTTAAAATAGAACTTAAAAACCCTTGAACAGCAGTCTGCTTATTTTTCTTCTTCAACATCATAAGTGAGATGGTTCTCAGATTGGCTCTGTTTAGTACTGTGTTAACATAAGTAATGCTACAGTTGCAACTCATATCTAAGCACTGAACGATTCCACAGACATGGCTTTGAAGCCTCTATTTTTTAAATAACCTACCTGCAATATCTTCTGCAGGACCACCAGAGGCGTAGCCAGAACATTTTTATAAGGGTGGCCAGGCAATAACCAATGTACACTGAAGGGTGGCCGAAAGCGGATCGGCGCCAGAACCTCAGGGTAAATCTATACTGATCCAACAGGAAAATGAACCACAACAAACATATTTTCCAAATAAAGACAAACTATACTTTCCTACAGCCTTTTCTAAAAAATATACGCATTTATTTAATTATCCATTTAAATAAAAGGTATAGTGGATAAAGTTCTTTCAGGTTTGAGTTCTGGGTCGAACATCTTTTCCATTGTCATTACTTACCTACTTTTATCAATAATCATTCTGTATAAAATTTATATTTACAAGGACTAATATCTACAAAAATTGTTTATTTACGAATTTTTTATTAGAATAGTTATTTATCTATGATTTAACTGAAGACTGACTTTCTCTTTACCCCATATAACACAAAATCTAGTTCTGAAAAGAGCATGAATTCTGTACTTCTCATCTTTCATGTTAGTATATTGATGTGTATAATTAACCACAGTGTTTTTGTGGTCAAGTCATTGATAATATATGAAAAATTAAAATGTTTTGAATGTTGAGAGTATTACTGTAGTATCACTTGAGAATATTACTGCTGCCACTGTCAGTATTATGAGGAAAAAAATGGTAGGGGGGCCACAGGGGTGGCCAATGATTGGGTGGCCCGCCCTCTAGCTACGCCCCTGAGGACCACTCCATTTCCCAGGCAACAGGATCAAAAAATAAAATACTCAATACTGCAATACTACAGGTTCCCAGAACCACACATAAAAGCAGAGGAGACTTAAAATTTGCTCGTCCTGCATCTAATATGTGGAACAGCTTACCCCTCAATAAAAGATCTACTAAAAGTTTGGATCGTTTTAAATCACTCTTGAAAGCCCACTTACATCCCCTGTCATTTAAATAAGACCGGACTATGTGAAATACCTGTCCTAGTGTTTTTATATGGTGTTTTATTTAATTTGGTTTATTCTAATATGCTTAATCATTTGATGATTTTACCATTATGTGAGGTGTGTAGCCTAAGTGAACATTTTCTGCCAAATAAGGAGTCTTCTATGCGATTTTAGGCACCAATATCATTTTTAACATACATACTTTTTTTGTTGGAGCCAGAAGCAGCATGCCATAATCATTTAAGTAAATTCTTGTAATATGTCACTCGTTTTCATTTAAATCTGTTTAAATTCAGTTTCCTTTTTTGAGCAAAATTTCTGAAATAAACGTCTCTGCAGTGCTCCAATTTACATTAATGCAGGCTTGGGCAGTTCTAGACAGGGGCCAACGGGGGCCAGTGCCCCTGTAGCTCATGTCATGGCCACTGCACTAAAGACATATTATCCAAAGAAATACTAATGATGATATTACCGATACTGTTATGTTACTATAGGTCCTTTGGATCTATTTTTTTCTTTACAAATTCTGTTTTACTAATTAAAAAAAGATGATAGCTTCAGTGGTATTGAGATAGGATCCCAGTATTTATCTGCTAAATGTTTTTTTTTTCAAAACAATTTTTTTTAAAGCACACATTTTTACAGCTGAATTTATTAGTTTTTCTGGAGTTCCAATTCAAATTTGATAGAAAACGGCCATTTTAATTTAAATTAGGTCAAAATATGTAAAATTACTAAATTCTGAATGTATGTTGACTTAAAAAGACAAAGAGTTTTAATTAAACCTAATTAATTAGAAATTTCACTTAATGCACCTATCTTAATGTATTTGAATCCCTTGCCCTGTTTTTTATTTAACACTTTTCTGTGCTCCCATGAAAACACGCTGGCCCCCTCCTGGCCCCCTAGTACATTTGGTCTAGAACCGCCACTGAATGCAGGTGTTTTTAGGTGCTCAAGGTACTCAAAGGACATTTTTGGTCCCCCTTTTTGTGCACTTCTCATATTGTAAACTAGATGTCGCAGTTGCATATGTAACATGAGCTGATGCGGGTTCTCCGGCTGAGGTCCGACTCTTAAATCCCTCTGGCGGAGTTTATGCATCGCTCTCGCAGAGCAGGCACAAAGTGCAGCAGTTCCCACCGCAGTCTGCCTCAGCACCTCAGCAGCCCGCAATGCCCTTGGATACTGCAGCTCTTTCCGTCTCCGCAGTGCTCTGACTAGCCCGGGCTATCAGCGACTTCTACCGGACCTATCGTGCTGGAGCCCCATCAGCTCTGAGAGAAACTCATGGGAAAGGTCCGGGGATAACAGGGTGCGGGTGATCGCCACTGCAGAGGACCTGCCGGTGGTTCGCAGACCAGCAGGAGGAGGAGGAGGAGGAGGAGGAGGGGGTGGGCTGCCTTGTGTCAGAGGCTTCAGCGTCGCATCCACTATTTTGATCACTTCATATCACCTTGAATGGATACATCATGGCTACGTTTACATGCAGGGTGCAGTTCTTAGATGACACCGACCCGTTTAACAGCACTAATTTTCCAGAGCCCACCAGGCCGCCTCTGTACACCTTTAGGGAAGATATTCCTCTGATCAATCAGATAGCTGGAGTCCACAGGCTGCTCAAAGCCCCACACAAGGTATTTGCACAAGATTTATTGCTTGTGTTGTTATTTTTCAATAAGATACATCTTAACACTTTGACTTAAATTAATAATTACCTTGCGTGTATTGATGAGAGTTACTTGGTAACCAAGCCAAGCTGATGGATCATTGAGCAAGTGACCTGGAGCAGAAATGCTGATGAACCCAAACAGTGGTTCCCTTGGTTACTCTCAGTGATATGAGACTGAAGGCCTCTTACTTTTACATACTGTTTATTTGAAACACAGAAAAAAAATAAGTTTTAAGATCTATAAATCTTTTGTAGACTTGTAAGAATCTTAAGTTAAAAAAAAGCAGACTTATTTTTTGCATGCATTTGTGTTCCTTTCCCCAATTTAGTAAAATATTTAACCCCCTCATGCTGCACTGACAACAAGATGTATATTGGTATCTCTAAAACCTTTTACATGAAGTATTGGAATTGTATGAACACAAATTTTCAAGTCTTTCCACGAATGGATTTGCTTTTGGACTTGATTGCAGCTCTGGCTGTATATGATTATAACAAAATTTATGCGCAGAGAGGATTTTTTCTGATAAAATCACTTAAATTAATTCTAAAGGCAATGTTTGTGTTAGATTTCATTTAGTGTCACAGTGTTAACAGCAGAAATCAAGCTCATTTTGTAAACATTACAAACATAACATGGCAAAATGTTGCATTTTAGTAGAGTATTTTAATGCAAGAGGTATTTTTACCTTCTAGAAATAGTTCTTTTGGTCCTCATAAACAAAAAATGTTTGCTGAAGCAGAGACGCTGTACTGAAAATGCAAAACTGCATACATTCGACCTAGCAGGTCCTCTTATATGGACTGGTACTAAAGGCTCAGCTGAGCAGAATCAAGAGTCAGGTCAAATTGACAAGCATTGTTGTGTAGAACATACAGCTTTTTTCCAATTAACAGATCTTAAACATGAAGGAAATCACAAAGGTGAAGCTTAATGCATTGTTTATGTTTAGCCAAAATTGTATTTTCTCTTCTTTCTAATAAAATGAAACCCAGTTTTAAACAGTTTAAAGTCACATAAATATTAGTTTTTGAACAGTGCAATGGTCCTGATGAAGAACCAAGAGAGAGAGTTGATTTTTCCCCCCTCTGTCTTTTCAATGCGTTTCTTCAGAAATGTTTGTTTTGGCGTTCTGGTTAGACCATGTGGATTCAGGCACCCTTTAAAAGAAACAGCAGTTACTGACCTTCTACAGTCATATAAAACACAGAGGCAATACCAAATGTACTTTAGTGGGCATGAGTGTTCATCTGATATGGAAGCCATGAACATCAATATCCAAAGAAAGTCTGTTATTGTCCTGTCAGGTTAGTGTTATTGAAGATTGTTTTCATTGAGGTGGAAGGAAGTTTTAGAGAGGTTTTAGATTACCACCAACTTTCCTCACATTCAGATGGCGAATTGCTCTGACTGATTTGATGGAGATGCTTTGTGTTAGATGTTAGTATTAAGAAGAAATATAGTACTAAAAGTCTACTTGTTGATTTATAACCTGTGGTATTAGTGATTAAGTGTAACATCATTTGTCATCCGTCAGCAAAATAACGGTTATCACATTTAAGCAAGGTGTTCTATAATTCACAGTCTTTAAAGAATGACCCTGTAAATTTATTGAACAACCCTGCAGCCTCTGAGCTCAGAGGTCAATCTGATGTAAATAGTGTGCTGCTCACACATGGTGTCCAGGGATCCAGACAGCTTACATGTGCTCTTTCTGAGCTGTCACTGTCGGTTTCTAAAGCTGAAGTTTGGAGATCAGTGCTGCACATTAGAAAACAACATTATTTTACCTGTAAAGTATCTAAAGTACGGTGAGCAATACTTTTCCCAGCCTCTAGCATCTGCAGTGTTTAGCAAAATGATCTCTGTTACAGCACAATATCAAACACCAATCTATTTTAATTTGATATTTTGCAACAGACACATATATACATAATGATTATATTTGAGATGTGGAAAGATAATGATAAATGCACATTTAGGCTTAAAAAATATAGCCTTCATATAGATTCAGTTGCATTCTTGTAAAACCCAAAGCAACACATCACCCTCAGAAGATCCACAGCTCTGGTGGGAGAATCCGTCTTGGGACCACTACCTTCACAAATGGGAGGGTGGCAAGAAAGTTAGTACTTAAAGACAATCCCAAGTATTCATGTTTTCCACAAGTTTGTATGTGATACAGGAAGGTGGTTTGGTCAGATAAACCAGTAGGTATCATTGTAGACTATGTTTTAGACAATAGAATGTATGTTACCCTGAAATTACCATTCCCACATGTTAATGACAGCATCACCAACACACATGGGACAGTTGGTGAGGTAGAATTTATTAAAATCCTATAAGAAAATATGTCAGTGGCTGGAAGAGTCTTAAAGGCAGGACAGATGATTCTGTCATGGAAGATATCTCCAATGGCTGTTTGTGTATTTTTGAATCATGCGCATGCGTCAGTGCTCCCTCCTTCGCAAAAGTTCTCTAAGCTGGAATTGCCTCCGCCGGTAATTTTGTATTTCACCAAGAGAGGCAGCAAAGTGCCAAGATGCAACTAGTCAGCATGAAATCTCCATAACCTAAAGAGGTCTCTGCCAGGGTTATTACTACAAGTTATATTTACAACTTGTTAGTGTGTTTTAACTATTTCTGCTGCAACTTTTACAGAACTTACTAAAGTATTAAACTTTATTTACTTGTCCTGTTTGTCTTTTGTCTTTGCAAACAAAACATCCGTTTTCAGACCCTTTTGCTCCTTCAGGGCACGCCATCTCTGAAACACCTAAACACACACTTTGCCGGCACCTTTCTCTCCTACTTTCTCTCCTCTTTTCATCTACATCGAAAAAAGGCTTTCATTTACGGTTATTTTTGTCAGGATTCTTTTCGGCCGTCGATGCTCTAGTTTAGACAAAAGAGTGAACAAATAGCTAAAAAAAAAAAAAAAAAGCAGCAGCAGCAAACAAGTGTAGGAGTACTTTCTTCGTGCACCGGCATAATGGCGAACCGCTAGCCAAACAGCATATGAGTTACCCTCGGAGCCTACGTAAATAACATCATGGCGGCGCATACGCAAAATGTTTGATTGACATACAAGTAGCCAATCAACTTTTGACAGCAGGCAAATTAGATTGGCAAATTTTTTGTAGGCCCCACCACAGCATATATGAGTATATGGATTTTAGTTTTTTGTTGTTGTGTTTTTTTTTTTTTCCCCTCCAGGAAGCTTTCTCAATTCAAATGTCTGGATCCGCAGTGAGTTTGATACTTTATATAGACAAGGCCTTGTATTGATTGGAAACATGCAAATTGAAACTTTTTAGATGAATCTGACCTTTAATTTCTGGGAAAATTCCCCTTTCTTAACTTTAAGCCCTAAATGGGGGGTTAACGTACCAGAAGGCCATGGATCCAGTGAATTTATTTAGATCAGCGTTTTCCTAATGCCGCTTGTCAGGGCCCACTCTCTATGACATGCTGAGAAAGTAATATAGTCATTTTAAACAGGTTTACTGTGGTAGAGAAACATCTGAAACACGAAGGGCTGTGGGCCCTGACAACCAAGGTTGTCTGTCAGATAAAAATGTATCATGCATCCTTAAATCTGTTCTCTGTCATACTGCTTGTGGTCTGCTGGTGTCACATTCCAGTTCTGGACTGTGACTTTACCAATTTAAACTTCAGAGGCAATTGTTGTTCTGCATTTTCTTCTGGTCCCGTAATGAGAAACTATGTAAAATGAGATGTTATGTAAAGTACAGGTTCCTCCTTTGAATTGCCATTCTCATTGTCATGCAGAGCTGAGGTTTTTCTCTTGTCTGCATTTTGAAGAGTTTTCACAGTAGAAGGCCACTTTCAAAAGAATGCATTGTCCAACATTGTTGCCTGACAGGAATTTAAGATTACTGTTGTGGTTTCTCATTCATGCATCAGGTGTACTTCAGTGTCACATACCTTCACAGAGAGACCCCAAATAAATTTATTAAAGGATTTATAATAGACACCATTAAATATTATCTGGTTTTAAAGGAAGTTTTGGATTTTGGACAATGCACAGGGTAGCCACTGCAGAGACAGTACAAGGAATGGTTATGAAAGTGAGCTTTTACTGCCTAGTAGATGCTCTCTGCTTCTAGATGCCTCTCCTTCTTTGAATAAAATACTGGATTGTGATCGTAGCTTTAGATTGGAAATTGCATGGTGTTTATTTTTAGTCATTTTCCCCTGCACTGCCTTCCTGGTCAGTTGACCACAGCATGGTTGTTGAAGGGAGAGGCCAGACCTCAGTGCGAGCCGAGCTCTTGTGGTTACTTCTCTGGACTTGGCCATCACAGTGCTACTGTGGGTTCACGTCCTGGGCAGGAGACAGCTAAACAAATCTCTACTTCTGATAATGATTGGCCTGCATTCCTTCCATTTCTTGGATTAAGGACAATTAAGTGCATCACCCTGGCCTTTGCAATATTAGCTGTGATCCAGGCTGAATATAAAATGAGGAAATAGAAGGGAAGTCAAGAGTGGGGATGAACATGTGGATACACAGAGAAATAGAAAGCATAGAGCTTGTTTCTTTGCTCTCAGTCAATCTGCTAATCATTCACTGGTTCCACAGTTGGCTACTTATTGGTTACAGTTCTGCAGGATTGGCCCGATGTTCAGTCTGCTCAATCTAATGCCGAGCCAAATGGGAAAGGAAACACACATTTTGATCTTGTTTTCTGTTTGGTTTGTTAAGTTCTTGGAGTGAACTGCATGGGTATAGGAGATATATATTATGAACAGTAAATTATTCAATTTTCATCCTACACGAGATTATGGGAGTTCATATCTTATTTTATATTATCATATTTAAACTCAGATCAGAAATAAAAATGTTGTTTTAACTGATATTATAGTGGTTTCTTTAATATGTTTTGTAGACATTGATGTCTCCTGAAATTGCTTAGGGTCTTGGACTGAGTTGATGACTCTCTGTTGTTGTACAGTATGACAGTCTGATCAAGGGGATCAAATTCTTCTTATTCATCTGGATAGGTTCTATTGGAACAATCATCTTCCTGTTATCCAGAAATCTACAATTATCTCTTGTCCATCTCTGGTATACCCCATGATAACAGAATCATCTGAGTATGTCTGCCGATGTCCTGTAATTAAAGTGTGATGCAATGTGAGTGAGTAAAATGTAATGGTTAGATACAGACCCCTGTTGTGCTCCTAAGTTGTTTACTACCTGGTGAGACATATCAACCTTCAGTCTCTTATATTGTCATTGGCCTTTTAGGTAAAACCAGCTGACCTCCATCTGAGTCTTATGGAGTTTCTGACAGAGTAAATCACACTAAACTGTATTAAATGCACTGGAGAAAACAAAGAATGTGTTCCTCGCAGTGCTGACTGATATGTCCAAATTATAGTGGGTTTGTTAAAATAGTATTATGGCATCTTCAACTTCAATTCTGTGGTTTTAAGCAAACTGAAGGATTTCCTGATAGCTACTTGTTTGTTTACTCAGGTGAGCTGGCAGGAATCTTTTTTTAGGAGCTTATTGATTTGTGATGTGGGGCAATAGGAAAAGGCTGGATAGCATTATGGCATAAGGTCTTGCATAATACTTGGACATTCACTTTGGTTAGGCCTTATTCTGTTACAGTCTTTCCAGCTTCGCTTTTTTGACTTTAGGGCTGGTTATACTCCCGCAGCAGTTTGTCGCAGTGAGCTTGTCACAGGTATGATGCAGATATTTGTGATTTATGGCCAATTTTGAAGCGTGGTCTGTGCTATGTAATTCCACCGCACAACACAAGAGGGACAATCACCAACTAGCTGCGGGTTGAGATACGGCCGAGGCGGTGAGGTAGTGGGGGCAAGTTTGTCAGACAACGGAGGGACATGAGGGCGAAAAAAAGCGGGGATCCAGGTGGAAAAAGGGTCTGAGCATTCTCGCGCACCTCGCTCTTCTAGCTAGTCCAACTTCATTAGTTGTTTTCCGTAATGGTGGTCACACAAACTAAACAAGCCGGTAAGGTACCAAACAGGAAATACACATGAGTAGAGCGGATATAGATTTGACAATTCAGAGGGCTCCTGTCTGCGGCACTGTCTGCAGTCACCTACAATTTGAGAGAGGTGCAGCAGAGTGTCTGCGGAGGGGGCAGGGATGTCTATGCGTTCACCGCGACACCTACGCAGATGACCTAGTTTCCAAGAATAAATTAGCCTTTATACTTAGACAACTTTTATTGTCAGTATATAAAAATGAAATTTTGTTTTGTACAGCTTTTAGAACATTTCCATTCCATAAAGTGCAGCTGTGATCAAATGTAAACAGTGTGGGAGAAAGACATGGTGCAAAAACGCATTGATATGGAAGATCACAGCATTAATATAAATGGTGCAAATATGCAGTACTTTTGGTCTGGTGTTAGATTTAGAGTTTTTTCAAAAGTTCAGCAGTCTGATGGCAGTGGGGAAGAAGCTGTTGCAGAATCTGCTGGACCCTGCATTGAAAGTTGCACAGTCTCTTCCCACAGGGCAACAGGGAGAACAGTCCATGGTTGGGGTGTGAGGGGTCATTGATGATGTTACAGGCTCGATACACGCAGCGCTGGGATGAAATTTCTTTAATGGAGGGAAGAGGAGCCCTGATGATCCTCTCTGCTGTTCTTACTACTGTTCTCACATTCTTACAGTTTGAGGCGCTGCAGCCTCCACACCACACAGTGAGACAGTTGGTCAGAACGCTCTCTATCATGCTTCTGTGGAAGCTTGTGAGGATGGGTGAGGCAGGTGGGCTCCGTGCAACACTACTTCTACCATTCTTAACAATGGGCATTGGGTAAAACGATAGCTAAAGTATGAATCTATTACAACGTACAGTAGGTGTCCCTAAAAGGTCAAATGTACATGTTTTCAAATAACATTTGGCCAGTCCTATAGGATAGAGTAGCTCTCTATTTTATCCTCATTTTCAGCACCCTTACAGTTTTTGTTTCTAAAGGCTATTTTTTTGCTTTCATTGGACCAAAGGAACATCCAGTTAAAAGGCCCTGTGTTGTTTAGCAAAGATGTGTGTTTTGGCCAAAAATGCAACTCTCCCTTCCCTTTTGTGTAGCTCCAAGCCCAATTAGAGCATATTACTGTCACCTAAAGGGGTAGAGTGAAAAAGTTAGTGTCTTGCTTTTGTTAAATGTAACAAGACCGGAAACTGAGTGCTTCTGCAAGTTGGAAATTCCAAATTCTTAGAATGCAAATGTAATGAATTTTCAAGTCATAGTGTTTATCACATTCAACATATTTGATCTTTTGATGACAGAGTTGTTTTTTTTCTAGTATGTCTAAACCAGCTGAAACATGGTTATCATCGTATGGTTGCAATGGTAACCCTAAGATGCTGCTGTTTGCTTACTTGTACTTGTTATGCTTAATGTTTATTTTTCTATTTCTGCTCCCCATTGCTGTCTTCCTTACTGTGTGCATTGGATAGAAAATTATACATTCCTGTTTGCTCTTGATCTAGCTTTTTTATAACTTAACTGGAGCGGAAAGTAGAGGTATAGGTACGTAATATTTCTTCATGACTTTTCAGCACTATACATTTTGCTTTACCAGCATCCCTGTCTAACTCATTTTGAAAACTGGCTTAGAAAATGTGAGCTTCATGTCTCGTTATATCTATACATCATTAAGACTTAGACTCTATATACAAATTGGTCAATAATCCAACTGAGAGAAAAAAAAATGTTAATGAAAAATTAGGAAACTGCAATCATTGAAGCATTACTTTTAAAAGTATTTTCACATGTTTACCTGCTGACTCAGTGAGAGGATGGGACGGCAGCTCTGAATCTGAGAAAATAATTGGAGGGGGGATTGAGAGTTATCCAACCTGACCACATGTTTTGTCTCAGTTCCCAAATTTGACAGTCTTTGACTGCAGTAATGCAAACAGACTGGTTGAACACTTCAAAGCCACGATGTCTCCCCCTGATTTTCTCCATCGTTTTATAATAAAGTTACACTCATGTGTGGGGGAGAGGAAGGAAGAAAGTGGTATTGCTTTGGTCTGGGAGTAAACATTTACACATGTTGCTCATTATAAATAAAGATGTTGTGGGTTGCCTCAAAATCTCACCTCCTTTGTGTTTCATCAAGTAAAAAGAACAGATATACCCTTGGCATCTTCTATTTGAGACACCATGCATATAAGGGGCCGGAGCATTGCAAGTATCTGCTCCTGAAATCAAGTGTTTGGACTTTTTTAAATGGCCTTTGTTTTCTTGTCTTCTGCTTAGCTGCTGGATCCTGGATAATGCAGAGCTGACAGCCTTTAAATATAAATAGGTGAACATCACTAATTTGGAGGTCTGTCATCAAAAGTTCAAATATGTTGAATGTGATAAACACTATTCCTCTTCTCCTTGAACAAAGTTAGGGTGATGAGAACAATTTCATTTTATTTATATATATATATATATATATATATATATATATATATATATAAGGGAGGGCGGGTTTGAACAGAGAGATAAAAGGGGAAAGACATCCGAGAAAATCTGACTCCTCACTGACTTTACTCTGTTTTTCAGTGTAAAGCTCTGACATCAGCTGATTAAAGCACAGCCTTTCCAAGTCTTACTGTAACTACAGTGTTATTATAGTATACTCTGTCAGTCGAGCTTCTCTATCAGAATAACTTGTTTTATTATATGATAAATATATACATTTACATTGGTCAAATCGAACCTGTATGTGTGTGTGTTTTTCCACATCCAGGCTGATGACTGTGCCCTACAGCTCTCCCATAATGGAAGCTATTTGGATTTGGAGTCCACTCTGGCAGAGCAGAAGGACGAAATGGAGGGATTTCAGGAGGATGGAGGGTAAGATAGCAATTGCATCCTTCTCTGTCTGTTGCTTAACTTTTTCCTTGGCTGTTGCCAAACCTTAAAAAAACATCAGTGCTGTAAACAGCACACTGAATAGAAAAAGGCCATCTACTGTTGGCTTAAAGTTGCGCTCTAAATTATACTTGAATCTAAAATAAAAGAAAGTCGTTCGGATACTCCTCGCACTTCAAAGGTGTAGGACAGATGCCAGAGAAGGCTGAAAATATAAGAGTAACTGGCCACAACAAACAGGTTGATACAGTAATATACATTACATGCTGGACTCTGATTTTCCTGGAATCAATTGTTCATGCTTTAAATTAGCTTTCAAGTCAGAAAAAAATATATAAATAACAATGATTCAAATGTAACCTACTTAAAATTTCTGATTACAGTAATCTGGCTTTATAATCTTACCAAATACCTCCCTGCTTTTACAGGCAACTGTAATCAATGCAATATAATTACTGCTTAGTAGTGAGACAGCACAATTTAGGTTTGATAAGAAGGATCTGATATAGCTGGTTAAAGAAATATAAATTGATATACCGTATTTTCACGACCATAAGGCGCACCGGACTAAAAGGCGCACTCTCAGTTATGTGTCCCATTTCTGTATTTAACACACACATAAGGCGCACCGGACTATAGGGCGCGTTTTTTATATACAGGTACATGTCCTCTACTACCTTTAAATACCTCTACTGCGTATTTAAAAATACAGCGGGGGCAAAACTGAGTATGACTGTGCTTTATTCATGTATTTATTACAAAGTATTAATCAAACCTGGCAGCTGGCCGTGAGACAGACACATCGCAGATGACACAGCGCTGTGGTCACTCCTAAATTAACTTAAAATCCTGAAACCTGCTGACGGAATATGTTCGCTTTTATTACCGGTATCCTGGTGCCTGCAGCTAAAATTATTTAGATGAAAAACACCTGCCAGCAGCCGCGGTGAACGAAAGGATTTCTCCTGTCGGCGCACCGCTGGTATGTGGGGGTCTGAGCGCCTCCGACAGAAATAGATAATCTGGATGAACTGACTGCAATTATTAAGTTTTCAGGTGGTCTTTCTCACTTAAAAACATATTAAAACTACTTTATTCCAACTGATCACAGCAAATATAGCTGCAAGATTTAGATTATTTAGATGAAAAAACACCTGCCAGCCACCGCGCTGAAGAGGAGGAGACGCGCCCACAGGCTGCTGTTGAATTAAGTTTTCAGGTAGAAAAATAGAGCGGAAGCAAACCTGAGTATGATTGTGCTTTATTCATGTATTTATTACAAAGTATTAATCAAACCCATCAAAGTCATCATCCTCTGTTATCCTCAGCATTCCTCTGAATAAAACAGCTGCGCTAAATCAGACATGCCAGTTTCCCCTTCTTCGCCGTCAGAGTCACTTTCCGTGCAGCGCAGCTCCTCAGAAATAATGCCGGCTTTTGCGAAAGCTTGAAGAACAGAGCCAGCAGACACAGTCCATCTACAATCCATCCGCAAACGGTGGCGTAACTTGCACGGCGCTGCCTTCCACTTATCCTGAAACTGTGGTCTCAGTCTGTCATCCATCGCTCCCACGCCGCTCGCAGCCTTACTTTGAACGGCCGCTCCACACCGATGTCGAGCGGTGGAAGCTCCTTTGTCAGACCCCCCGGGATAACGGCGAGCACAGCGTTCATTTGATTCATCTTTTTTTCAAATCGGCTGTGAGATGGGCACGCAGCGATGGTGATGCGTGGAAAAAAGCACCTGGTCTCCTTACATACACCTGCCTTTCATCATCTCCTCATTCATCCAGCCTTTTTCATTTGCGTTAATATCATATGTCATCAGAGCGCTGTGTCTGTCTCGCTGTCAGCTCCCAGATCAGCTTCTCTGATTGGTTGATGCGGCGCGTCCAGCAGCAAAACTTCAATTTTTCCATCTGAGCAGCAGCAGCGCGTTGGCGGTGCGTCAGATGCTTAAACGCCCCCGACGTGCTGCACCAAAACGCGCTGCAGGACCTTTTGCTGCACCTATATGCGCGTCAACCATTGACTTTGCATGTAAACTCGCTGCTTCTGCTGCACCTGCTGGGTACGGTTCACACCGATGTCGAGCGGTTGAACAGCGAGCACAGGGTTAATTTGTTTCCCCATGTTTTTCACATCAGCTGTGAGATGGGCACGCATGGAGTTACATATTAACAGCGATGGTGATGAGTGGAAAAAAAACACCTGGTCTCCTTACATTCAGCCACTCTTTCATCATCTCCTCAATGAGGTGGTCTCAAAAGTCGCAGTTACAACACACATAGGGCGCACCGCACCATAGGGCGCACCGCACATTTTGAGGAAAAAAAAAGACGTTTAAGTGCGCCTTATAGTCGTGAAAATACGGTACTGCTTGTTGTATTACTGTAGCTAATCTGATCCCATTACAGTGATTGGGTTCATAATCATACCTAACTGTCAAATTACTCAAAAATCCTTTTTTCAAGTCATTATTAAAATTAGCTGTGTTTTCCAGCTCATGCAAATATGTTAGATCTGTTTAAAAACTGCCCCGGGCTCAACCTTCATTTCCACCTTATTACAAATGAAAGCCTGTTTGAACTAGAGACCCTGAAACAAAATTTTATTGCTCTGAATTTGTTTCTGTATTTTATTTAGAAGCAATCCTTCTTGCTAATGTTGATACACCAAAATATAAGGTTATTAGTTCTAATTCCAAGTCAAATTTATGTTTCCATTTCAATCTATTATCTGCTACACCCAGAGCTTTACAAGGTTTTTCTTTAAAATACGCACCAAGAAAACATATTTTGAGTCAGCTTGATTGACCCTGGGAAAGGCTGACTGGTCCCAAAATAAAAAAAATCCAATAATATTTTTCAATCAGTGAGGGCTCTACCAGGTTATACTGACAATGACACTCTTTTGTGAGGATGCTGCTACTGAGTTAAGAAGACTCAATGTTAGATATGTTCATTATACAGTATGTCAAGTGTTTAGAACAGAAGCACCAAGATGTATGAGCACATTTAAAAGGAAGCCATGTGTCAGTTTGTTCTAAAACAATTATAAATGGTTTTTTTTAGGTCCAACTGCTGTGTTTTCATTAACAATGAGATGTGTATGTGGACAGTTAAGGCTGCATGCTACTATTTTATATCTTTTTTTGTCAATTATGCTAGAAAAAAAAATCCTTATGTAAATAGTGCTGCAGATTACCTCTCAGATATTAACAATACTACAGCCTAGTTTGCTTAATTATATCATAGTTTCAGCTGAAGCATTATTTAGTCTCATCTAACACTATGAAGAAACCAAGTCTAAGATGATTGAGAGTCACTCAACTCTTGATAGCACATGCTTGAAAATAAGAATGAAACTAAGGTATAATTCAGCAAATAATTATCTGTTAAAAGAGCTATTAAAGTTGAACTCTTTAACATTAACAATGACATTTAGCAAACAAAGTTACAAACCATGGATTTGGTACAAACCAATTAATTTAAACTGGCAGCATATCAAAATAAACATAATAGAAGTGACAAAGATGTGGCAGTACTGGATGTTTTATAACTTAACCTTTATTTTCTTTCATTAAGACATGTGTTTCAGTGCATTTGCCCTGAATATAAGGCTAGAAAAAGTGTGACCACATGTTTTACACCCATTTCTCTGCTACAATAGGTCTATCTTTTTCCATGTCACATTTTGTAACACTTGGTGTCCTTTATCGATTGGCAGGACTGTTAAGTTTTTGAACTGTCTCATATATTAACTCTGATTGCATTTATCTGACCTTTTGTTATTAGGTCACAGAGATAAACACTTTAACAAAAATCTTAATATTTACTTTATTTAATATTTCAACAGAATGGAGATTAAAACTCATATTTTTAATTTCTATTTTATGCACTTTCTTTGGCCTTTCACTTTATTGTCTCCACATGTTTTTATGTGAATTCTGGCGCATGCCTGGTGTATGCTTTGCCCGCTTTAGACATTCAAAAACCAAAGGTTGGCGTGATATTTCCTGGTTAGCTGTAACGCAAATATGTATGGATTTATTTGTCTAACTTGGAATTGAAAAGGAGCTCCCGGGCCCGGTGTTTCTGTTGGACTTTGAGAGGGCTGTCCTTTCCCAGCTCCAAATGAAATTGTTGGGAGCTAATATGGAGGTTACAGAGAGCTGTGAGGTTAAAGCGGTCCACCTCTTCTCGCGTCAAAGGACAAGACTGCCAGGGATTGTGTCATGCCAGCTGGCATGAGTTGGTATGTAGGTCTTTAAAAACAGAAGGCTGGGGGTAAAGGTGGTTTGCCAATTATTTAGTGAAAATTAATGGTTAGTTGCGCTTACTGGCTTTTTATAGTGGTAATGTTCCCAGGGAATGTACCCCCTGCTGCTCAATGTACCTTGATCTCATGATAATAACGCTTAAATAGTCTACTTCATTACTTAATTTCTATTATGTGTATGCACTGAAGTCAGTCACATTGTCAATAATGAACGAAAAGATACTAAAAAGCAACCTGCTTCGCTGACCGAGGTAAAAATAAAATGCCGTCTCTAATCTTTTTTGAAAGTTGTCTACTTCCCGAAACATTCCTAAGCCATTTTGATTTTTCTGGCAATTAGATCCATGTGTAATTGATATTAACGACAGGTTACATTCCTGAGGCGCCTGTGTCATACCTAGTGTCTCTACAATCAGATTAAAGTATGATCCTCTGACAGACGGCTGCAGAGCCAGGATATATCCATGTCATGGGAGCTTAAGGGCCATAATCACTTCCACACCATGTTATGTGGCTTGTCTACAAAGGATTGTTACCCCCCCCCCCCCCCCCCCCCCCCCCCCCCCATACTGATACAGCTTTACCTCAGGTTATTAACTGGACACATTGCCAAAACACATGCTGAGTTATTTCTGTTTTTAGGTAGTTGCTTTGTTATTGGAATTTTGTTGCTGTAAGACACAGATTCTAGTATTTCTGTA